TATCTGTATTATTATAATTTAGCAACTGCTTGAGGTGTAAAGATTGAGTGTATTAATGATGATTTATGGATTACGAGTATTCGTATTGGCAACGCAACGTTTTAATTGCAGGTTTTAACAAGTAGTTTCATTCGGGGTCTATTGTTTTAATACTATCGTCGTGATCGACGTTTATTTTTTATTAATATGGCTTAAAAGCCATCTAAAACTAAACAAATATTTCAAAACCTCCATTACCTTTGTGTTTACTTGCCTAAGTGGCTAAGTCATAATACAAGTCAATTTAAGTCTATTCATTCACGTCTGCATAAAATGGGTCGGTTGTCCGGATTCGGACTGTGCTCCGCCATTAGATGACCTCTCTTTCAATAATAGGATAGCTGGCAGGCAATTTTGAGTACCTACTCAATTTGAGTCCGCATGAAATTTTGTGACAATTATCTCTAGTAACGTCTAGACACATACGAAATCGAACACCTGATTAATTTTCTTTAAAATCTTTACTGCTACCAGCCTGTTTAAAAATGGTTAAAAACAACCTGTGTCCTGCATGATTTAATTAACTCAGACTGGATATAACTAATCACATATTGCATTTACGGAGTTGGAGTCATAGCGGTATGCATAATCTGCCATAATATCATTGTGATTACTGATTGCATAATAGTATGTACAACGATGTTACGTGCATCACATACCTACCTTTATTTAGTGCGGGGTCCATTGCCGTGATTTATGTAAAAGAGTTTAACAAAAGTTTAACCACAAACATTTGAACTTCCAACAATGTTACCAAGTTTAAAACTTCTCCGCGGGTGTTTATTGTTTTTTTTACGTCGTAGAAAGGTGCTAATGGATAAATTAAATTTCAATTGTTGGAGAGCCTGGTTTCAGCACATATAGGCCGACTGGTGTCACGACCTCATAGAATACCCTCATAGAATAGGTGTAAAGCAATTGTTTCATTGTTTTTCACTGAGTGGCCAAACCTCTAAAGTAAGGAAGTTGTGTACTCAACACTAAAAACTTATATTATAGGCATATTGTAAACTGTGAAGTAGTCTAATATCCCCACTTGTAAGCAACAAACAGAATGACTAGCAAGCATCATTTTTAAACACGGAAATGCCATCAGTATCTACACCAGTGCCTCAATTCTGCTATTTTATGTTCACGCCAAGCCACTGTCATACCACTATGACGCGCTATTAAGATGGCCATTGGCATCGGTATAAATATCGGTAGTCTACACTAACTCAGTGTCTTTACAGTGGCGATGGAATGGCAGTGGCACATCAGTGGTGATATCAAAAAGATTGCCATATTTGGAAAAATAAATAATTCATTTCCTTATAATTTGAAAATATATAACGTTTTTTTCAGTCAGTGTAGACTACCGATATTTATACCGATGCCAATGGCCACTAGATGGCATCTCAATAGCGTGTCAGTGGTATGACAGTAGGCTTGGAGGTAGGTAGGTAGGTAGGCTTGGAATGAACATAAAATAGCAGAATTGAGGCCCTGATGGCTTATTCCGCTCGATGCCATGCAACGATATATATCGACCCTAGTACCCTCCCTACTACAACCCAGCTGATATAGGATACAACTTGTGGTGCTTTTAAACGCGTTGTTTTTTAAAGAGGAAGTAACTTCCCGAGAACATTAGCTGCGCAAAACTACCTTGTTATAATGAAAGTTGTCTACCACTAGAGTTGACCAATTTCTATTCAATCAAAACTAGAATTACTATCAAATTAAACACAAGTTAACGTTAATTGCATTTTGTAATTAAATCATTCATTAATTATTATTGATAGAAATATTTTCGTTAAGCTTTATAAATAACAAACTTAAAATATATTAACCGCAATTACATTTTTAACTGTTGTTGTGCCCGCGTTTTTGCTTTCGTTATTGCGTAAAAATACATTTGAGTAAGTAAGTAAATACCACTGCACCACCTCCAAACGAACATATACTGATGTCTCTTCCTCCAATAAAGAACGGGCTTACGCTGTGTGTATATTTTCTGTCTTACTTACTGAGTAACATCAGCATTATTGGTTTATTTAGATGAAAACACTATACTTATATACGATCTTTGAGTTGTTAAAATAAAAGAAGGTCATGGTTCTGTACTGCATATCTACAAGTTAGAAACAAAACTGAACAAAAACCTCTTTTTCATTATTGACCTTGAAAGAATTGTGTAATTGTAAACTTTCTTGTAATACTGTGTTGTATGTACTGTTACGCCGATATCGTAACCTAGTGTTCTGTGATCCATATCTCCTTCCTCTGATTCATTTTATAGAAAAGTAACAACAAATTCTAAAAAGCTGTATAGTCGAGCACGACATCATTGTATTTGTAGTTGCGAAAATATATTTTACGTGTTATTGTTGTCGGTATTATTACGTAAAGCATTACATCAATCGAACTTTTTTTCCCGGTTATGGAAGTCATAATAACAAAAACATAATGTGCCGAGCCAGAGCCAAGACGTGCCCGTAGTCCGACATACTCACTGTACTCTGGTCTAGTAACTTAAACAAACCCTTTGAGGCTGCCTTTAATCTTAATTTATAATTTAAAGTTTCCTAATACCTAATGTTAATAGCGCAATCTTCTCTCTACATCATACAGTTCATGTATAGCGAGCATTATAGTACTTTCATTTCATCAAATACACGTTGAAGTAGAAAATACACTACAGTATTTTTTTTCAGACGGAAACTCTCAAGTTTGGTTATCTCACATTTCGTTTATTTATATAAGGCCATTGTCGTTTATACAAAAGTCACATAGAAACAGATAAATGCTTTCAATTTGGTACAGTCATAAAGTACGGACTAGAAGCCTTCTCTTTATGTAAAGATTAATAATGTTTGTTCCTATTTAATACTTGTACCTATTTAATACTATATGCTACCTTACCTTACGTCGCTAGGGATACTAAGAAAAAATATAGGCAGTGAAGACTAGTCTTAAATATATTTTTAAGTAAAACACCACAGTCGGGCGGCTACAGCATTTCCGTAGTTAGTGAGCGCTGGCCTAGCCGTAAAAATAAGCAGTTGGCCGGAACTCCCCCGTAGGATTTGGAGGCGGAGGTGCCCGCCCAAGTTTGTCACCGGACGGCTGACTTCTGGGCGGGTTGCGGCGGTCGGCCCCCGCCCGAAGAGGTACGCGAGTGGCGTGAGGCCGCTCGCCGAGCCATGAGGGCTTGTTAGTCATCCCGGCTGGAGACTCCACGTGCTGGTTTTGCCGCCGTGGAGGCACTCCAGCCAGGATGACCAATTGAGTCCCGACCGTCACCACTGCCATTGCAGTGAGGACTCGGCTCAGCACACGCTGGCAATTTGCCCGGCTTGGGTGTAGTTTAGTTCTAGTTTATACATTTGTATCAATAAATATGATAAATCCGGGCGTCGCCTAATAGAGAATGTACCCGAAGGTGGTGCCCGAGCCGTTGCGGGCAGGCGCTAGGAGGGGTCCGGACGTCCTAATAACAGCAGTCCCCGGATCCCTCCTATTACAGGCGCAGAGTGGCACACCGTGTGGTTTTAGTCGGTCCGATTCCGACACACCACCCCTCTGCAAACCCCGGTGGGGTGAAGGCCGAAGTGATTACCACACGTTAAAAAAAAACAACTACATACCATATTTTTCTTGAATTGTAAAATAACGTTTAGAACATTTATTCAAACTAAGGTCTATCTGATATTATCCAATGTGAACATTGCCGCAACCTCCTCCTTCTTTTGAAGTCGGTTAAAAAGTACAGTAAGTAATGTAACTGTAAGTACGTTTAATGTCATCAGTAAACGGTGGGATGACAGGTAGATTTAGGTACAAAATAAGCAGTTTTAGTTCTTTTGTAGAGAATAGTTTCGAGGACAATGCAAAAGAGAAACCTATTGTTGCCAAAATTGTGTTACTATTTAGAATAGTCGGCACTGTATTAGGAAAATAGTTTTTTTACTTAAAGGTTTACTACCCCATGTGCGCTATATCTTGAAAAAAACTACACAACACTTCTTAAATAAAAAATTAAATAAAACAAAGTGGATGTAATTCGTGCTAACTAGTACTCTCTATCGTCATCCACATGTCATTTATTTATTGTATCAGTTCGCTTTAAATGGTTATACCGTGCTTACCAAGACATTTTACAGATTAGTATCTTGTCTGAATGTTATACTTAAGGATAAAGTACAAGTATATGTATAGAAATGTTGTAAACATCTTATTATATCTTAAATCGGGATTTGCCCTGCTCTAATGACGGAATAACAGGAAACTCAAAGTAGTTGCCTGATAAGTTGCAGCCGTGAACAAAAAAAAAAGATTTATCTTGGTGCCCCGGCAAGCGAGAAACCTCTACCTGACCATTGAACAAATATACATCTGGAGAATGCTAAAAAGTAATGATTTTTGAACACGCGACACATAATCGTATAAACTGCACGTTTCTGACATTGTTAATAGTCAATTCATAAAGTAACTTATAGAAAGCAACATTGTCAGTATTGCAAAAACGCCCAATACGTTTTTAAGTAAATGTATCAGTAAAAAGAGTTTGTAATTTATATTAAATTATTATTTAATGGGTACGTGAAGGCTGGATTTAATGTTCCACATGTTCTTTTCTATTCATGGTATGGTAAGAAAAGTATGTATTCATAACTAAAATAAGTGTAGGTATTAATAATACGAACGTATTAATACATTGCATTTCGGCCTGGGACCAGTGTCATTAAGCACGTTATATTGATTACTTTCAGGTATGATCTGTGTACATAACTGTGCTTGTTGTTGATTCTAATAAATGTATTGATTATATTAATATGATAGAGGAATGTTCAATGCCTTATTCATTCAATAAATACCTTCTGACGTCCGATCATCTATGACCTTTATACATAAATGTCTTCGTGTTGCATGTACCTAACTGATTTATTAGTTTCTCATACCGAAATATTATGTTTCAGATGGCGTTGGTAGAAGAAGCAGGCGCCGGCGCCAGCGCTGAAGACCCCGAGGCTTTGCTCAACGAATGGCTAGGCGAACTCACCGTGCTCACTGCGGTATGCATTTTTTTACATCTTACAACTATATACGCCGTACTGTATACACCAGATTATGAACACCAGTTGCCTAACACTTTAATTCAAGCTAATTTCGATTTTGTGACACAAATAGAGGCATCTGGAAAATTGAGCACTTAACGGAACGATATACCTCCATTCATTAAATAAATAAAAACGAAAAGGTTGAGTTTAAAAGGGATGATTGATGCTGGATCACAAATGAGCTGCAACACGTGTGAGTTGCAGCCGGCCCGACCGTAGGCGCAACGCGGGCGCCAACGCGCGGGTGTGGGATGCAGGAGACAGGTGTGCGAGCACATGCCTCGTAACCAAGATTTTGCATCGTTGGACGTTTAACGATAACTTGATTTTCAACAGACCTTTCGCTGTTTCTTTATTAACGTTATCTTGACATAAGTACTATTAGGCTGCGAATGAATAGGTACTGATAATTATGAATATTAGGAAAATAAAATATTGAAAATATAAAAATAATTTACACCTCCCTGGGGGAGGAACAAACAATAAAACGATATTATATTAGCCTTAAAGTTTCTGGACACAAAAGAATTAAAATCGCAAAAAAACCTAAACATATTTGAATTTATATACTTTTTAAAGTTTTACAATTAATAAAATATAATTTTACAAGCACTATTGTGTAAGGTTTAAAATTTCTAAAATGCAATATTAGAATTAATAAAACAAAAGCTTTATAATTGTACTTATCATCACAGACAAGATATACATCACTCACAATAATTAAAAGTAAAAAATCAACATACGTAATTTAAATAAACCAAACACAATTGAATAAATTGATATTATGTAACAATGTACGAGTAACATTAAGCCGATATGTAAATGGTTGCTTAATTTATTTTATAATTTGTACAACAACAATTGTTATACAAAAAAAATGTAAATAAAGTAATTGTATAATATATGTTGATTCAATGCCTATCTGACTTATTAAAGTCAGATAGAAAGAAAAGTATGTATAAGAAAAGTACACATCATATTCTTTTTTCCAAACAGATTATTAAATCTGTTTGGAAAAAAGAATATGATGTGTAGGTGTAATATAATGTATTTCGCATACTACAGATTATTATCAGCGTACGGTAAGTTAAAGATCGATAAAATGTGTATCCCGCACATCTGTCGTGAGTCTTGGTCTCTGCGCGAGCAGGTGGTTCGTAAACACCACCTGTTTCCCATTTTTTGCCCAGCTTTTTCATAAAATATCTGATGGAATCCCGTACTGCCGTATAATATACAGATTAGGAACTAAAATTAAATTTTATTATACCAACCTAATGTAATTTTGAAGAGCGCATTAGGTACACACGCACGCACGCAAGCACTACTTCAGGAGTGTTAATTTTAAATATGTATATAGATACAAAACATAATTATGGATGACAAAAGCATCCTGTAACTTAATTTAATTTGTATTATTTTAATGTATGTGCCTTACTCGTTCATACTATGGGAAACATTTCATAGATGGCAAGTAAGGGGTGTTGTAAAATTAGGACAAGTTAAATTAGGTCATCCATCGATAGGTTTCTTTACGTATAAAATATGGATAATACGCAATATTTTAGTATGTACATAATATGTTTTCCTACAATAACGAACTCTTATTTTAATACTTTTATTTGTCATTCTTTAACCTTTTAATAACCTTTATTAAATAATAATTTAACATTTAAGTGCGAGTGCGAGTGGTAAAGTGGGGATCGAAACTTTAACATTTACTCTTGGTGGTTGATGAAATTTCCTCAAACGAAGTAAATTTGATAAGTTACTATCTGTCTTATAGATTAAGCGAACAGTTATTGTGTAATATTGAACACAGTAATGAATGAAAGCAACAAGGAAATGCGGAATCTTACATTATGGAATAGTGTAGTATTTTAATCGTACTCGTATATAAATGTGTGTTGCGCTGAGAACGCGCCCAGCGCCGTGCATTGACAGGGCGTATGTGCGTGCGTGTGTCGAGCCTTGGTGATAATAAACAGGGTAAGCAGGGTTCGCGCCTTGTCGTCCCGCGCACGAGGGGTTAGAACCGAGGGGACTAACACGCACACTACCGCACCGAGTTCGTCCCGTCATTCTGGAATCAAACAACGTAGCGTACCAGGCCCCGCACACGTGCGCAAGTCACAAAACACGGTTGCCGCCTGTCTACTAACCTCCCCCTGCGCTGTTGCCTGCCATTGCGACCGGCCGAAGCGTGCGGCCGACGCTCATGCTTCATTTTGTAATACTACTCACTTCACTTTGCTCTACGCCGCCTAGTTGTGGTCGTGCTTGCATACGACTTACGCGTTTCTTGCGTTTACCAGTATCGTGCTCTTTGTTCGAGTATTTATCATAATTATAAGATGATGTCTGGCGCGAAAAGTTTGGTTTCGGCTAAGTGAATGGGCGAGGTCAGTACTCCGTGCGTGATATATACTGTGGTATAGTTTAGTGTTTGTGCAGTTCCGCGCAGGCTCCGTTCCGTGTAGGTAAAAACAAACGCGTTTGCATACCAACCAATTTATTATAAATGCATTCTTACAATAAAGTTTAGCAAAATTGTATTATGCAACTTTGACTGACACATTGTAGAATTGCATATTGTGAACATAACGCAGTAGGAGTATGGTCCGTAGTCCGCGTGACAAAGCGCCGGCCTTTTGGCACGCTTTGCTAATAGTGTAAAGTGCTGTTCTGTGACTCATTTCGCACTGCGATGTTAACGAAATGATGGATGTTCAACAAAACGAAACGAGTAAGTGGCAGCGCGGAGGGTTTCTGTCATCTCTCAACAGAAGTTTTCGATTAGCAAGCGGCAAAACAAGAAGTGTTAACAGCTCACCCACAGAAAATAAAAGCATGGATCAAACTTTCGATATATCGTCGGTATGTAAAATAACTGACTTCTATTGTAGCTAGTGGTGGTATCACATCTGGATTGATTATTTTAATGTATACCTACGGCAAATTGTAATTATAGTTCGGACTTCTAAAATGAAAAAAGTTAAACAAATGTTAAAATTCGGATGAGACAACATAAAACTCAATTTAGCTGTATATTACCCATTACAATGTCATAAAATCTATAAAATATAAACATATAGATACTTAACAAAACATTCATTGTTTAAAGACAATGCATACCCAACTATGTTTTGGGATCTCAGCATGTATATGCCTCAATAATTAATTCCTCAGCATATAAGTAAAGTACAGACAATGTAATTTGTATTCATGGGCTCCCGTAACTACATTTAGGGCTTGGGATTTAATGACACGGCTTAAAAATAGTCATTCTAATAATTAATCGCATGTAAAAATCAACATCTATTATTACATGCCTACACAATTTCGAGTTGAATGACCAACCCTGTTACTTCCAATATACATGTATCTGCCCATCTGTTGATTCATGACATAGGCTTTAGTTTGTTAGTGTTAGACATGTTGAAATAAAATCTACAACCGTCACGTATTGCTGATAATTAACTGTGTGAAACTAGAATAAACTGAAATCTTATTGCGACTTTCAAGCTAGGTGTGCCTTTTTTTAATATTCATTATGTTTCACGTTATACACGGGTTCCGCCATACGTTAAGGAATACATAAGTTAAGTTACTAAAGTACTTTTGGATCATGTACATATAAACTTAGAAAAAATATAACCAGTCCAAGAATGTAAAAAGCAGCCCCTTAAAGTCTGTAATAATTATTCCAAGTTATCTTTCTTATTTAAAATATATCAAGTATTGTTCAAGATCAACGCTGGGGGCAACCGCACTTATTGATTAAACTGAAACCAGAGGCTCCACATGCAAAGACAGTTTTTTTTTAAATCTATATTATCATTTTCAGGGTCTAAACTCCTCAAATGAACCATCTTCGGCGTTACGGCCGCTGGAGATTGTTGCTCCACGCATTGATACCTATCGGTTCTCGATGGCCAACCTCGAAGAAACACAGGATGCAGACCTCGATGCCATTCTAGGGGAGCTCTGTGCTCTTGACTCTGAGTACGACGAAGAAATATCTAGAGTCTCATCTGGTATGTTTTATAGAAAGTCAAGTGCTTGTTACTTCGCATTAGTAGAGAACTCTAACCAAAATCCCTTTCTCTATTTTTAGCTTTATCATCAGTATCAAAATCAAGAGCAGATGTTGGCCACGATGTTGCTCAAAAACAAGAGAAAGAGTGCAGCGATGGGGCTTCTAGCATCGTACGTACCGATTCTCCAGACAACGATTCAGCGTTTAGCGACACGGTAAGTACTCCAAGAACTATTACTGAGAATTCTGTCTGTATTGGATGGTGTTTTATTTGTTTGTTTATTTTCAGGTTTCTATGCTATCCAGCGAATCATCGGCATCAAGCAGTACCAGTACTAAGTGCAAAACTATGAAGTTAAACCTTCATCAATCAACCCCAAAGGTCATTACCAACCCCAAACTATCATTAATTTGACATAATTTGCTTTATACAAAGATTTCTAATATTTTTTTACCATGGAAACTAATTTCAGGATGCAAGTTTTCAACAAAAGGCCGACAAAATAAAACTAGCCTTAGAACGTATGCGTGAAGCAAACATAAAGAAACTATTTATTAAAGCATTCTCCATGGATGGATCTTCTAAAAGTCTGCTGGTAGATGAGAAGATGACATGCGGATATGTGGCAAGGCTTCTGGCTGACAAAAATCACGTCATAATGGAACCAAAATGGGCCGTAGTAGAGCATTTACCAGATCTCCACATGGGTAAAGAATATATCAAAAATAAGAGTCATTTATTAGAAGTTGTCTTATATACTTATTAATGGTTTGTAAAATTTATATTACAGAACGCGTATACGAAGACCATGAGATGTTAGTAGATAATTTGATGCTATGGACGAGGGAGTCAAAAAATAAAATATTATTCGCGGAACGGCCCGATAAAATATCTCTGTTCCAAACACCTGAAAAGTTTCTCCTGACTGAAGACGACCGAGGTAACTATATATAGGTACTTATATAATTGTATAAAAGCAAGGCAATCTAGAGATGTGTTGTTTTTAATAAAAATCAATTTGATATATAGGTTGGTGCAGTGAACATGATGAACATTCAAGACAGGTAATCATAGAGGAATTCTTCGGCCAGAGCGGCGGAACAACTAGCACCATTCCTTCTGTCTCTGGTCATCCCGTGCCTCCGATGGAAGGGCCGTTATATTTAAAAAATGATACGAAAAAAGGATGGAAGAAAATATATTGCGTCTTACGGCCCTCGGGTTAGTAACGAATACATAAAAAGCAGTTGTGTGGCCACACTTTACATTAAGCTAAAGCGATTTGGCGAATGCGAATACAAATATTTTAGTATTTTAGCATAATGTACTTATAAATACTTATTTGTCACTTGTATAGGACTGTACTACTCGCCCAAGGATAAGGTGAAAACTTTGAAGGAACTGGTGTGCTTAGCGACGTTTGACACCAACGAGGTATATCTAGGATTAAACTGGAAGAAGAAATACAAGTCTCCTACAGACTATTGCTTCGCTATCAAACACCCAAGACTGCAACAACCAAAGAGTGTGAAGTTTATTAAGTTTCTGTGCGCTGAAGACCAACGTTCTCTCGAAAGATGGGTTACAGCAATGCGTATAGCCAAGGTAAATGAAAAACGCTTCTCTTCTCGCTCGAGCTAGCGCGCTCGCAAAATAATTTGTTATGTTGACGATAAAGGCCCAATTGGTATTTTACTATATATTCATATTTGCAGCATGGAAGACAATTACTGGAGAATCACCGGTCGCTGGTGGAAGAGTTGACTCAGGAGGATTTGGATCATCTTGCTCACGCACGTTCCTGTTCGGTACGTGTGCGTGCTCTCTTAATATAATTTAAAAATACATCTCTTAATTTCTTTGACATCAAAGATTTTAACATTATAATACCTCACAACAGTTTTAAACTTGACAGAGAACAAAATTTAATACTTGTACAAAACGTAAAATACCGTATAAGAACGTACTCTCCACTTAAAATATTAATAAACTGTCTGTCTCCATTCAAGATTAACCAGTATGTATTAAGTGAATTTACGTACCAGTTCACAATAAATGGGCGGGGATACATTTATGCGTGTTAAAACATTTAAGGGTCTCGCTGTTGGCCATGCGAATAGAGTTAGTAACTGAGTGTCAATAAAAATCAGTTTCATTTTACTCATTCGTTTAGAAACATAATCATTAATTGGTGATAAATATTAATCTTGCTTAAATTATAAAAGGAATAAATATATATATATCAATATCAAGTATACGCCTCATATAGAAAGAATCAGTATAGAGTAAATGTCTACACAACTATATGAGAGACGTTAGGAAGAGCATTAAATTAGTTCTAAAGAATTACCCAAATACCCCGTATAATATTAAGGGTTTTTTTCCACGTAGATTACGTCGATTCCAACTAAGACAAATGGCAGTACAGTAGCGGGCATTAGCAGCCCGGCGCAATCCACCTCGAGTAACGCAAGTGTTGCCAACTCAGACATAAGCAGTGGAAGGTTGGTATTGTTGTGTCTTGATCTGCTACTACTTATGCTGCTACTTAATTATATTGCTCGTCTATGATAATAAAGTATTATTATTACATTTTTGAGCGACAAATATTTTAAATAAATTAATTACTTTTAAAAATATTTTAATTTACTTGTTCATTAAAAAATATCCTCAGTGATATTCTCTAAATAATTTATTACACAAACGAGTAATAAATTATCCTTCTCCATTTTTTATTGTATCGAAGCTCTGCGTTTTTGTTTTTATTTTTTATTTACTAATATTTGTATGCGTAGCCATTTTTAAATGAAAAAGATATGCTTGCGTATTTTTTTTTTTTTTGTATAATATTAAATATAAGTGAAAAACAATACACGTATGTAATAATATGCTTATGTAGCGAATTTTATCGTGATAATGAAATGTAGTTGTTAATATATTATATTGTGTTTAGTTCATAATATATATTTAATTGATTATAAAAAACGATGATCACCATTGACGTATACAGACACTCCCGCGCATCGTCATCCAGTTCAAGCGGATGTCTGTCGGATGGCGGTACTGCATCTGAAAGCGCTTTCGACTGCGAGTTTCCTATGGGTAATTAATTTTAACTACATCTTTCAAATCGATAGTATTATGAGAACGTCGAAACGAGTCAAAACGAAGTTTTCGAAGATTATTAAGAAAAACGAAGCAATAAGAGGTTTATTCACGTGTGAGTGTCTAATAAAGCCAATGTCGTGCTGTAATATATACAATAATAAAGCATGTATTATGACATGTAGAGTTAGAGCATAAAACATGTTAGAATATTAAAGTATCAAATATTCTACCCACAAAACGAGACACACTTATTATAATTTCATTGACACACACATGTGCCTTTCCACCTATTTGAAGTGGCGATAGAGATGAGAAGACGTAAGAAGGCGTTTTTATGTCATTAATAAAAGCAGTTCTGTCTTAGCCGGTCACTTATTGAAGAAGACTAAAACCTCAATAACGAAATGAGAACCGTAATCTATCTTTTTAACTGAATAAATGAATGATGTTGTAATTCGATTTGATGCTTTCAGGAACGATAAAGCGGAAACCATCAATGAAACCCAATATCCCGTTAACGTGGATGACGAGACAGCTAAAAGAAATGGTTGAGAAAGGTGGAGATTACGGCGTCGAAGACGAGGGTGGCGGTGATTCTGGAACGCTGACCCGTCGACCGCGTTCCGCTAGGACTGATGACTCAACGCTCAAACGACATCATACTATTGGTCAGTTAATTGATAATCACTTTTGTACATATATCATATACATGTAATAATAATTAGTCGCTTAGTTCCTTTTTTTATTTATGTTCTATAACTGGATTATTCTATAGAGGTCGGTAAATAACAAAATTTATAGGTAAACACAGTGTTTATTTGATTTGTTGCTCTTGTTCCTCTTCTTACTAGTTTTGTTTTTGTTTTATTATAACATGTGTAATGTTTTTTCGAACTAACTTGTCTATGATTACTTAATTTCTAAATCTAAATCAAGCATCTAATAAATTTTCACATATAAATAGGATTTTGTTTCCTTTTATCATTCTGCAACTAATCTCTTCTTGTTTACCCTCAAAAATGCCGCGATGAATGGTACTTAAATCAGATAATTTAAACAAATTTACTTCTTTTACAGATACTTCAGAAACTGTGGCACACAGCAGCACATCAAACACACGACTCAGTGCCACTGCGAGCCCAATCCGTCATGGTTCACCGTCTGCGTCTCCCACCCCTACTTACGGCCATTACGAAAGCATTACCAGAGACAGCTCGTTTCGTAACAGTGCTGATAGCACCTCTGTGCTTTACGGTTACACAACAATCTATGATAAAGTGCAACGACCTTTGAACATCTCTTCCGTGGAAGACTTGCCTCCACCACCACCACCTCACGAGGATATTCCTGATGGTATGTTCAGTTCTACACTTAGCCTAGATTCTCTACCGCCTCCTCCACCTCCTCCTCTCGAACCAATTGAGGATCTCAGCGGTTCTCAACTTAGCCTGCCGCCTCCGCCTCCGGAACACACCATAGACGCCCATAGTGGTGGAACGCGAGTGCACGAAATAGTAAATCAACTCACGGCACAGCAAATAGAACAAGCGGCACGAGTTGGGCAGGTAAGGGTCAGCGCACGACCTGCTGAACCGAGCCGCACATTCCCGCGGCAACCATCTTTAGATAGTGTCACTTCGGAAGTGTCAAGAACGTCGTCTCTGCATTCCGACAAAAGCATTTATGGTCAACAGAATGTAGCATACGGCGCTTGCCTTGCTGAACTACAAAATAAGAAAATAAGTAACGGGAGCCCCTCTCTTCAAAAAAAATTATGCAATGAACCTGGTAAAGAACGATCCGGCTCTATTAAGAAAGTTAATTTTGCCGATGACCTACCCACGTGTTCCGACACCAAAAAGAACAAAAAAATATCTTTTAATTTGAAGGAACCACCTCCATCCTCACCACGGAAACCACCACCGCCGAAACGTAATGAAAGCACAAAATTGTCTTCGCCAAAGAAATTAGCTGATTCCAATAGTAATCCTCCAAAGGAGTTTCTAAGAGATTTACAAAGGGTAATGCGAAAGAAATGGCAAGTCGCTCAAAAATGTAAATTAGAACCTGCTACAACTCCGCACGAAGTACTTGGTTTTAGAGAATACCCATTATCAGAAGACTACAAAGAGACGAGTGTATCAATGTGGGTGCAAGAACACTACGGTGGTGGAGTGGAAGATCCTTTCTATGAGAATGTTTTTGGTAGGGAGCCTCAGCCCCGTCGCGAGGAGCCGAAGCCCATAAAGAAGCGTCCCCCACCTGCTCCACCACGTCGCAGTGAGTCCACCCATTTGTCAACACATCCTCACCCTTCGGCGGCACAGCCCACTGTCTAAGAGAACAGGCGCCAGTGCACAGCGCTGTCACAATATTAACACGAACGCGACCACGCGATGCGCTGGTTAGAAAATTTTCAAGAATTTTATGTTGGTATGCTGTAAGTTACGGATAAAAACCTTAATGTCCTATTATTGGCTAAACAGTGTTTAGACGATGCATTTTAGACTAATAGGTCTATCCAATAGTAAAATGGAGCTCTCTGGAGTAGGCAAAGTGTGACATATTTCATTGACAAACATTAACGTCATTATTGTAAAGACACTGCATGTGTTATGCGAAATGTTTGCACCATGCATAAAATGACCAATCTTGATAAATGTTATCATTTGAAGGGATAGTAATCAGAATAGGGTGCTATTTTGAAAAGGTATACTTAGGTATGTAGGTTGGGATTTTTGCAAGTTCACTTTCAATATAAATTGAAAACAAGAAAGGGATAACACTATAAAACTAATCAGATTATACGTGTAAAAGATGGTACTTCTTAGGTTTTTTATAGTGTTTAGGTCTTTGCTACTGATACGAAATGAATTGCTTGTAAACTTGCAAAATCATATTTATTGCATGAGTTGGAGTTTTGTCGATTTTTATATTATGTTCCTAGTTAACTATTGTATGTGGCTATTTTGTTTGATCTTGGCACGGTCTACATAAGGTAGTTAAAATTATATATTTTTAGCTAATAATGTCATGCTCCCAGCGATTGGGATAAAGATATTAGGGCCACTAGGAACTGCGGCCATTATTTACTCAAATTTTATTTACATCAAGTTATTGATTATAAAATATATGAAGAGCTTCATTAAGAACAGATGAATGGAGTCGAAGATTTATGAATATAAGGCGTCTTATAAAAAAGACATTAAATTACCGTAATACGCTCTGCATTAATGGAAGGTCGAGAAATTATTACACGTATGTAATGCTTGAGTCGATAAATTTGCCTTATTTGTGCCATAGATAGATAGAAATAATTTTATGTGTTCAATTCCATAATTGTTTAACAAAATTTGAAAATGCTATTTTCTGCTTCCTGGTTTCATATACACAAGTTTCTTGCTAAGCAACATTTCGCAGGCCGGTACCATGCGATTAGTTCACGATCCAACCTAAAAACTAATAAAACCAGCACACAGGACAAAATAAAAATTAAACAGAACTCCAATGTGGTCTGATCTCACTGTACCATCAGTAATCATTAATATTACGTTTAGGCTGTGATTATAGCATCTGGTTTATTTTCTGAAAACAATTTGATATGGCAACGGTGGCAAAATAACTAAGGTAAAGTTTGCATCATTTAACCTATAATTAAATCAATACTTTTTAAACAATGCCTTACTTATATTTTCACCGTTGCATGCATTACATGTGAAAAATATTATTTGTAAATTATTTTTACGTATTTTTAATGGAGCACTACAGTAGTAAAACTTGGTCCTAGTGTAGCTAATTAGCTATAATATTAAGCTTTGAATACCTGACTAGATTTAATATTTTAGTGAGTAATTATGTTTATATAATCATGTATCATTTGATGGAATTCACAAAAAAAACTAATGATTAGAGATAGTATCGTATAACAGATTATAACTCCTGAACTTTAGAAAATAACAAATAAAGTCATAAATGGAAAGAGAAATGGCGAAAAAAATACGATATTAGCTCTCACACAACAGAAGCTAAATTCACAAGGCTGCTACAAAATAATAAACGAAATATCTATAGCAATTTTGTATGACACTAAATATTATGCGATTTTGTATGACACTAAATAAATTCATACCGTAGCAACTTTATAAAAATCTAACAACGCAGAGGGTATTTGTAGTCTGATAAAATTTGGCTTCTTTATTTATGATGATCCGAAGACGTGTGTCATAATTAATTAGTTTCTCAGCTCGTTTCAATGTCTCAATCAACACGATACGTTGAAATCTCTATCGTCATCCTCGTCTAAGTGCGAAAATAAGGGGCTCAATAAATAACCACGAGTAGTAGTTACTCATAGCAATAAATGAATGTTTTATGTGAATGTGTGTATAAACCGCAGCTTTACATGCTGATTGTCAACTTAACAATTAATTTAAAAAAATAACCTAAACAAAAATTTAATGTTTTATGTAATTACGAAAAAAAAGTTTTGTATTACCTATATCCACTTACATGGCCCAAACACAGAAATATGACTACTCATTGTTTATAGGTATTATACTGACATTCATCAGTATAATACCTATCTTTCCCTTCCACTACGTTTAGACCAACAATAAGGTGAACACCGCTATCACATATTAGTGTTAAAACATGACTCACATACCCAAAGCTTTCCTATTTAAAAATTATTTTATGGTTTGAAAACAGAACATTCACTTGAATTAAATAAACATACCAATTTTTGCTTCAATTCTTAGATATATAAACTATAAGATAAGGAAGTCTTGATTGTTGCTCTTGGTTTATGTTATATTGTATTATTTATTCTATCACTAACTCCATCCAATAAACATTCGGATTGTAAAGACTGAAGCGAAACTCAGATATTGACAATAAGCTTACGTCCAACAAACAAAAGTTGTTTGAGATCTACGAAAAAGACCAACTCAAACTGCCTTAAATAGTTGTGTCATAATGTCTGTATGTCTGTAAAGTGTAATCAAATATTTTACCCACACTTATTCAGTGTTCATGCGGACAGATGGCACAATGTAACAACATAGAAAAATTTCGATTCGACTGTACGGATGCAGATCCATTACCTATCACTCTATTGATGTTTGGTAATCTCTTTGTATCAACACTTAAAAAAAATGATACTCCTGATTCATAAGTGTTATATTAAAACTGTAACTAAGACTGCTGGTTAGTAAAAATTTTAGTACGTTTGAATGTTTAAAATATCCATTAGATTTCAAGAAGTTAATAATAAAACTTAATAAAATGAATAAAACTTGTCATAAGACTGACGCCCGGTTTCTAAAAAGCTGTCATGTCAAATATTAAGCAAAACTATATTGTACTCAGTATCTAATTTATACATTGTAATAAACATATCTTTATTAGAGTATCTATATTTTAATTAATACTCACCCGATTTGGTTACTCGACCATACTTGTACAATGCTGATCAACGCAAAAAGTGCAAGTTCGTAATCTTACGCAAAATATATTTGACTACTCACTTTTACTTTATATTATATGCTCAATGCTCAATGGATTTATTTTGTTTACTTTTATATATGTTTTCTCAGTAAGTGAATTTTGTAAATTCTTTTGAGAAATAAAGATTCTTAAACCAGAAAATTAAGTAATCTTATCTTGTATTTCTTGTCAAGTATGTTTAAAGAGTTGCTTGCTTGTTTAAAAAATGTTTAGTTACTTAAACGGTTTTCATAATCGTATGGTAACCATTCGTTTATTTCCAAAAAACAATTTTCAAAATCAACTTCAACTTTTGATTAATAGCTTTGTAACCACAATTTCGCCAATGTCATGTATTTGAAAGACAAACTGTCAAAGATTATCAAAATCAATTCAGAAACTATAATTAATTTGACAGAACTGTCAACTTGGTTGGTTGGTTGGATGGTTCTGTCAATAGTGTCAATTGAACAATATTATCGATCAAGTTTTTAGTAACCGGGTGTCAATAGTTCTTTTTTATTATTAATTAATGACGACATAAATAAAAGTAGCGTGGTTGTTGATGGGCTGACTGTAGAAAAGAAAATGTTTATTAAATGCGCAAAAATAAAATTCAATTTAGTACGACATTATTAATTTGCCATGTACGCATTTCTTTTTATTTTTGCCAATAAGATATTACTCACTTCCCAAAAATAAAAACCCAGGAACATCTACGTAATGGATGTCGCTATGCTTTAAATACTATAGTAAAGTCAACTGCACGACTCAAGTTTGTAAAAAAATATACCTATGTATCGTATGTAATAGATGTAATATGAAATATTCGCTATATGTACCTACACCTTATTTACGAGTTGTTACCTGTATGTGCGTGCTATGTGGTGGATTTTACTAAAGTAGTATTTGATTAAATGTGTAATATTTTATATCTCTTGTGCCGCAAGTCTCACGACGGGACTTTAAAAATATTGAAAATTATAAATACTAATTGATCGTTATTATTGTATATAGTAACTGATACATCCTAAAACGTTTACATCAAACTAATATCGGTTAAATTATCATCATTGCGACACAACCCCTATATGTTGCAAGTGAAACAGGTTATTAATCCACTTTGTGTAACGCATTTATTAGTATTCTTAAATACCTATGTTAAATTGTACAGAACAAATTAATTGTAACATTAATTCTTTGTATATTTTTTCAAATATAATGAAATTCCGAGATTTTTTTTCGTTTCATTTAACGTAAAAAATAACACCTGTCAGAATGTCTGTCTTCTGAGATTTGATGCCTAAAACAGGCTAAAATGGTTACGTAGCATATATTATTGTAAAAGGGGTTTTCTTATTACGTAACACATTTCCAATATGAAACTATGCGGAGTCAGTTGAATATGCATTCAGCTATTAAGACAAATTTAATTGGGTTTTTAAACTTACGTACAACGACAGTATATTGTATGCATGTGCATGTAATACACATTAATGTAATAAATTTGCAAGATGCTCTTATCAAGTAACTGAAATATAGAGTTTTTGAGCTTCTGATATTTTACTTTATTAATTTAGTCTGCATCTATATTCCATTCAAAGTTCCTTATATTTTAACAGCGAAATATCATAACTTGACATCTCGTAGTTACACGCACAAATGACATGAGTGACATAGAGAAGCTGTATTTACGATGTTTTTATTCGTGACGCTCTATGATCAAAGATCGTATATGAGATAAAATAAACGCTAATAATTTTTCATATACTGACTTGAGAACTCTCAGAAACACGTTAATACCACTAGAAAATAGATTTTGAAGTATGAAAGGTACTCACGAGCTTTTTGAATGAAACAATAGAAGGTTATATAACTATAATAGATTTATACAATGGTTTTATAGTAGACTTGAGTAAAAAAGAATAAATCAATCAATTACATAACATTTAATCTGCCATTTTCACAACCGAAAAAGGATTAATGTGATAATATCGTACTTTGATTATTACCAGCCTGATTAACTTATTAATTTAGTTTATCATTGTAATCATATGAGTAGATAGATGAATATAATGGTGTGCCTTATCATTCCACATAATTATTTGATGATTATTAATAAAAATATAAACAGTAAATGCAAGTGGTATTAAAGCATTAAAAAGTTTTGATACAAATTGGTACAGAGGCGAAATGGTGTCAAAATGAGATGAAAATCGAAAAGAATTTCAATGAGCAAGAGGGAACAGAGTGTATAATTCTCTGATGTACGTTCAACACTGCAGAGTTACTAGGTATATCTTTTGTAATAGTAAAAATCTATCCAAATATGTAACTGTATCTATACAAAACCAGTGCTCAATAGTGCTTTTTCATACACTCTAACAAAGAGAAACCATACGAGTAACATAACTGAATTATTACACCAATTTACAATCGTGCGTTTTACGTGACCATATAAAACAAGTTGAAAACGTTCAAGAACCGAATGCGGTTATTTTTATTTCAAAAGTATGAGACTGTGGGCATTTAACTTTCAATGTGGATAACTATTATCGATGATAGGCATAGCTATCAATTATCAAGGCTATCAATTAGAACTTTGTTAATGCTAACACCAGCACAGGACAGGTGTTTGCGTATGTGCGTACGGCACATCTTAAAATGATAAGTGTAATTCAACATCTTGACCTGTTATAAACTGTGCTTTAAGAATGGTAGCTAATTTTGCACTAGGTATACGTTTTATCAAACTATCTACTTATTACATTTAATAAAGTATCGTGAAAAATAAGCACTGTATGGACATAGGTATAGTAAGAAGTTTCTTTGATAAAATGAAATGCCTGTCGATAGTAACAAAACCATCAAGCCATGGCCTTGCAGCATTGTTAAGAAATTAGTGCCTAGGTATACCGAACGGTCCAAGCTTAAGGCCTACTAAGCCCTAAAAATTGGGCCTATATAAGGAATCGCGAAAAACAACGTGAGAATATATATAATTATTTAGATATATATAATAAATAGAATAATTATTTAGATAATTTCTTAATTAAATTTTTGAAATATTTTAGTGTTGTTTCGTAGATGACCCTTACTCTCCGATTTATTTTTAATTAACTAAAAATTATAATAGGTACTAATAACTTCACTATCACCCATAAACTTCCACGACTGTCCAGATACTCCTTGTTCACACCTAAGCGATCCAAAACTAACCTTGGCTTTTTCTCTCCTTTAAAAAGGCTCCAGGCAGAATATAATTCAATAAGTAAAAATAAGTTTACCTTCTTTTAAAAAGAAACTATTATTGTTAAGCTGAGATATATTTTATGTATCTAAGGACCTTTGTTTGTTTTATGTTGTAGATTTTTAAGTAGTTATTCTGTAAGAAAGTGTCTGTTCAAGTCTTTCTTTTTTCTCTTCTTTTTTAAGTTAGGGGAAGCCTTACGCTCCCAACTCTCTTTTATTACGCTTATGCTTTCCGTGGCAACCTGTAATTAAGGCAGCACTAATGGTTGTATATCACTGCCATTGTATCTCTTGCTTTTAAGGTGTATGTTCTTGTTGGTTGTCCAAATAAAAAAATACCAGTACCACAGAGGAACTTGGTAAAATAAATTTTTATTCTAAGTGTAAATTTATTGATCAGTTAAAAAAAATCCGGTCAGGTACGAGTCGAACGCGTGCGCCGAGGGTTTCGTACCTGCCCAGATTTTACGTAGATTTTCACGAAAATTTTTAAGTAGCAAAATTTATCTTAATAGGGGCCATAGACTTCAGTATCTAGTATAAATTTCAACTTGCTAGGTCTACCCGTTCCTGAGAAAATCGTGTGTGGTGACACACGGACAGACGGACCGACGGACATGAAAGTGATCTTATTGGTTTAGGGTTCCTTTTTTACCTTTTGAGGTATGGAACCCTAAAAATACCGATTTCACTAAATATCAAATGAAAAGGTAGATGACGTAAATATAAAAAATCTTTTTTGGAAATGATTTGTTTACCTTAACTAATGTCATTATTTACGGATGACATTTCTTACTTTTGATTTATATATTTTAATTTAGAGTTATTTTACGGTTTTGGACACAACATGAATAGAAAACAAAAAGTTACGAAAACTCTTGGCCCTTTAGGTAATTACTCATAGCTTCGAGAATTTTACTATTTTTATTGAACTTGTTACTTAGTATTTGCTAAATCTTCTCCATTATTCACTTAGACAACAACTGCAAATGTATCCAAATAGTTGGTCATTTGGAATCTGTGAAGTGGATAGTGTATCCTCGAATATACCGAACGGGGCCAGGATATCTTGTTCTTGGGGACTGGATTCAGAACCCACATATCTGGTTGCACTATGTTGAAAGTTCAGACGGATTATTAGCTGATGATGATGTTCTGTTGTAAGTACTAAAACTATGAGGTATTCTTTCGACAATCTATCTCTGCGTATTTACTTAAGTGATTTTAATTTAAAAAAAATGACTTTTTATGATATTGGTAACCACTATCATTAGTCATAAAATATAGTTTCAGTTTGGTGATAGATACTTTAAGGGGTTGTAGTTGCCATCATTTCTGATAGATTTCACTATGAAATACCATTTTTTTTTTTTTTTTAACGTGTGGAAATCCCCTCGGACCGTCACCCCTCCGGGGTTTGCGGCGGGGTGGTGTGTCGGACTCGGACCGACTAAAACCACACGGTGTGCCACTCTGCGCCTGTAACAGGAGGGATCCGGGAACAGCTGTTGTTAAGACATCCGGACCCCTCCTAGCGCCAGCCCGCTCCTGGTGCGGGCTCCGTCTCAATATTTTTTTTTGATTTCCTCTCTTTAGGCGACGTCCGGCACACGCGGACGCCGCCCCCTCGCGGCTGGCCAAATTAATGCGGGTGGAGGGGAAACCCACCCCGTCCACCCGCGGCCACACTCAGGGCGGCATGAGGCTGTGATAGGCGGGCCTCCGCCGCCCGGTTCGCCGGCGGCGGATCGGGTCCGAGTGGAGGTCGTCCTCCCGGGCCCTCTCCGCCGCCTCCTTCCGCGAGATTACTACCTCGCAGAAGGTTGCGACCGCGGTAAAACAACTGTCGCTACCGGCCATGGAGCGTACTACGGCCGGTAGCGAGAGATCCACTCCGATGACTGCAGTGAGGGCCCGGCGCTGCGCCGCCCATGCGGGGCAGACCGCCAGCGTGTGCTGGGCCGAGTCCTCACTGCAGTCGCAGTGGTGGCAGGCGGGACTCAGTTCCCTCCTAGCGACCGTGTGCAGGTACTTTCCGAAGCAACCGTGCCCGGAAAGCACCTGCGTCAGCCGGAAGGAAAGGGTCCCGTGCTGCCGCCCTGCCCACTCGGCGATGACCGGCTGGAGAGCCTCCACGGCGGCGAAGCCAGCGCGTGGAGTCTCCAGCCGGAACGACCAACGAGCCATCGTGGCTCGGCGAGCGGCTTCGCGCCACTCGCGCACATCCTCGGGCGGAGGGCGAAATCCGCTCTCCGCCCGGTAGTCAGCCACTCGCCGATAAAAATCTTCCGCCTCCAAATCCCACGGGGGAGTTCCGGCCAACGCGCACGCCACCTCCGTCGAAACGGTGCGGTAACCGCGTATGGCTCTGACCGCCATTACCCTCTGAGGGCGCCAGAGGCGTACCCTATTCTGGGCGGTCAGAGCCGCCGCCCACACCGGTGCACCGTACAGTGCCATTGACCGGACAACCCCCGTGTACAGCCGTCTTGTCGCGACGCTGGGTCCAACCATATTGGGCAAAAGTCGCCCTAGGGCAGACGCAGCGCCGACCAGCTTTGGAGCAAGCTGTCGGAAGTGCTCGTCGAAGAGCCACCTCCCGTCGAGGATCAGGCCCAGATATTTCATCTGGGCCCGAACCGGTACGAGGACCGAGTTGACCACGATTGAGGCGCCAGGGGGTGGACCACGACGGGGCCCATGGAATAACAGGGCCTCCGTCTTATCTAGGGCCACCCGTAAGCCCAGCGCCTCAATGCGCCCGACCACCAGGGAGACTCCCCCTGTGGCCAGGCGCGCCGCCTCTTGGAAGTTTGCCCCCCGGGCTGTCACGAGGGTATCGTCTGCGTAACAGATTACACCCAGCCCGGGGGGGAAATCGGCGCGAAGGGCCCAGTCGTACCCTATGTTCCACAAGAGGGGTCCAAGAACAGACCCCTGTGGAACACCGCACGACATGGGCCGACACCTCAGATTACCTTCTCGGTCCTCGTACACGACGGTACGCTCCTCTAAATAGTCTGCCACTAGCCGCCTCAGGTACTTTGGCACCCCATGATAGTGGAGTGCTTCCCTGATGCAGCTGAATGGCAGACTATTGAATGCGTTGGCGATGTCCAATGACACCGCCAACAGCACGCCCCCCACAGCTCACGGCCTCTTCGGTCACGGCCCTCAGGCGCAACACGGCGTCGACTGTCGAACGCCCCGCCCGAAAACCAAATTGGGCGTCCGACAGATCGGGGCCCACCTCGCAGAGGTGCCGGACGATGCAGGCAGAAAGAACCCTCTCAAACAATTTGCCCGCCTCGTCCAGCAGCACGATGGGCCTATAGGCCGCGACCGAATCGGCTGGGCCGTCCCGGCTTCCTCAATAGGACCAGCTTCCCGCTTTTCCAGCACTCAGGGAAGCGTCCCGACGCCAAGCTAGCGTCGAACACCTCCCCGAGGCGGTCTGCCATGTGGTTGAGGGCCAGGGCCAGCACTCGGGCCGGTACCCCGTCTGGCCCAGGGGCGGTGTTCTTGGAACGGATCCGTAGAACAGCCGCCCCTACCTCCGAATCCCGGACGGGCGGAACATTGTCCTCCCCGTGCTCCCCGTCGTCTCCGGCCAGGGAGGCCATCGACGGGGGAGTGTGTTCCGCTCGTTGTGGGAAAAGGCCCTCAACCACTTCTCGCAGGAAGCTGGGCTGGAGAGTCTCCGTAAGGGGGGGGCCCGACGCGCGGAGCTTTTGTCGCACCGCGCGGTAAGGGCGACCCCAGGGGTCACGATTAAGACCCTCCAGCATCTCCTGTCTTTTTTCCTCTTTGGCGCGGCTAATGGCCAGCTTTAGAGTTTTCCGCGCCCGTCGGTACTCCTCATGAAGCCGGTCCTCCTCACCGTCTCCACGGTGACGCCGCCGACTGCGTGTGTAGGACCTCCGGGCACGTGTACAGGCCGCACGGAGGTCCGCCACTATGAAATACCATATCCCAACCCAAACCATTTTAGATATTGAACTTTAAGATTTTTATAAATATCGCCGAATTTTTGCCTACTACATTTTTTTTTTTAATAATATCATTTATTTTATGCTTTTGTTTACTGTTTTTATGGTTGATAAATTGTTTTAAAATATCAACTACTAAAATTGTAGTTAACAAACTGGGCCAAAGTAGATGGTTAATAATAGCGAAAAGACATAATTTTGAAATATTTTTTTCCTTTGACCAATATTATTTAAAAATCTATTACAGTTAAACTGCAGATTTATTAAAAAATATGTAAGTGTTTTCAGCTATCTAACAAGGTATAATAGTCTAGGATAGTATCAGAATTCGTAAAAAAAACTTAGATGAAAGTCCGGGTGTTAAGAATTAGCGTACAACCCGGCAGTACGAGTATCTAGTTGAAAACTTAGCTTGTATTTTTGGACTATTTCGTTTGTATTAGTGACTAACTATTGCTAAGTAGACTTTGATTTGACTTCTGATACTGTTGAAGATGACAACCTACACGAACGAGGAATATGCTGATATTATGATTTGTTACGGATACTGCCAACGCGTATCCACACGAGCCACCAAACCACTTCTCCCAATGTACTTATTACGTTAATTAGAATCCAGCCATACTTTAACACTTCTTCTGTAATGCACAGGGTAACTATCATGCTTAAACAAGATTTTTCTTACAAATTTATTTCTTTTTGCTATTATTTACCATCTTCTACGGCCCAGTTTGTTAAGCTAACTACAATTTAAGTAATTGAAATTATATTTTTTATCAACTATACAAAAAACAGTAAAAAACATGAAATAAAGGACATGTTCTATGATTCTATGATTTTTATAAAAAAAAAAAAAGTCCAATATCTTGAAAATAATTGGGTTTGGGATATGGTACTTCATAGTAAAATCTATCAGAAATGATTGCAACTATATCCCCTTTAAGTATTTAGGTCGACTTACCCATTAACCCTGTATATGTTTTCTATATGTATGCCTGATACAGAAGCACCGACACACGCTACTGGAACATCCACGATGTGCAACGCTACTTTTACGCCCATGAGCACTGCAATCAAATATTGTACACCTACCAATATCCTAACTTACGGATGCCCACACACTTTGGGGACTACTTATGGAGGGCGAACACTGCTATGAAGCTTCCGTCTAATCAGTTTTTGAAAACGTTAAACAAGGATTTGGCAATTACTCTAAAGGTACTTATACGAATGAATGAGAATATCTTGTACTCACGGGGTATATTCAATATAGCCGTAAGAAGTATCTCGTATACCCGCGGCAATCCCCTTGAGTAGTTTATACTTATTTAAATTAATTGTAGTGAAAACGTTAAATGTTAGAACGACTTTTTGTCTGCATGCCTTGTAGAAGACCACTTGTAAATAGTATGTGTAAGCCGCACTTGGCTGATATTTTGACAAAACTTAACCAATTGCAAAAGAAAATGGATACAGAACTACGTTTTCAGCAATTAGCATACAACTGAATTTGCAGCAGATCGAATTATAACAACTTTAGAATATTTGACTATTGATGTGGTTGCATTGCAACTCCGAAGACGAAAGTTTATTGTTTAACGTTTATCTTTTGGTGTTTGCAATGTCTATGCGTGGTCGTAGACTTGCTGTAACAAGATTTCTTCTCGTTCCGTATCGAGCGATACTATTTATGAATTAAATCTCAGCACGTCCTGTATAACCAAACAGATGACTCTATGGCTCTTAAGTTTTCTTTTAGGTTATGGAATTAAGCATTTATAGTTGTGTTTGAAAAGTTTGATGGTGTCATATTGTATTGTAAAGCGCTGCAACTTACTGAAGCAGACCATGGCTATCAAAATTAAATTGCTGTGAACTAGCGCTCAACGACACTTATTGCGTTGAAGCATCTATCGCATTGTATTTTTCTAAAATGAAATGAAAGTAAAACATTGGGTTAAAATAGACAAAAAAAGCTTTGCTAACACCAAACGTAATGGACGTACTGGACGTAAACATGTTCACTATTAGTACATATTATTTTATTGTTATGTGTGTATCTAGTATACACATACCTAAGATCAAAACAGCAATGATTTAAAAATGCAAATAATTAAAACATAACAGAAATGAAATCAAGCGAAGAGCAAATGGACCGTCTGATAGTTCCTGATCAACTGTTGCATTTGGATCGTCTCGACTATTTCAGAAGAAAGAGTATTTTAGATAATTTGTCACATGTTTTAAGGTAAGTCTGTAATTTGTCCTTAACGATTCAACTTAGCCATGATAGTTAGCCTTCTAATCCTTTACACATCGTTGTTATAAGCTTCACTACACCTTCTATTAATTAAAAGACTTCTCATAAAATAGGTTTCAGTACTGTTATTGCGTAATTCATAAAATTTCAGAAGCTTATAAAATTCATTATTAACATGATTATTATTTTCTGTGTCGTGATGGATTAAGAATACGGAGTGTCGTCACTCGTATTAATCCCATGGGTGTCATGAGAGCTGACTAAGGGAGAGCATACTACGCAAATAACAGCACTGAAAAAGTAGGAAAACTTGAAACAAACCCTATACCAACCCGTGTGGCCAGCGTGGTATAGTAGGTCAAAAGCTCATTTCTAAGGAGAGACCTATGTTCAGCAGTGGACAGATAAAGACTGATGATGATAGTCCGGTCAATACTGAACTCTTGTTAGATGTCATTAGCAATTGGTTGACATCAGAAGTGATTGCTAGAACCAGAGCAATCCCTTGTGAAAGCACTTATTAGGTATTACTGTTACAGTGTACAGAATCATCTTCAGCTGGTATCATTCGAGAACATGCGCTGTAAAAGACTAGAAGGCGTTCGTTTGATTCAACAGTTAGCAATCTTTAACTCAGAGTCACTGAAGTATTTATTTCTATGGGACTTTGTTCTTCAAAATGAGAATCCTTTACTTATCAACTACAGTTATTTGACTGGTTCGTGTATTTATTACTTACTTTTTTTTAACACTACATTTAGTGTTTAAGAGAAGAAAAAATTGTCGCAAAAAAATAGGAGCTGACTTCCACTATACTATTACTCAATACCATTGATGACTCAAATGACACTGATTTATTCCACCAGTAGCAACATGTTGTGACCTGGTAAAGAACTGACTATGTACATATTATGCTGTATAGCCTATTTAACCGTAGACTAGGCACATAGCCAATTTTAGGTGACTCATGACATCTCAGACAGCCTCATTAGTGATGTGTGCAATAATGTTGGGTTTGGACTAGTGCTGTGCTGCTATATCCGCGGATACGGATCCGAATACGGATATTTGGTGTCAAGATCCGCGGATACGGATACGGATACGGATCTTAAGTTTCTTACTCAATCGGAGCCCGTGACCTTGATAGTTGTCGCCACTTGATGCTTTGCCGTTGATATTTAAATATTTCATTATTTTAATAAGCTAATACAAAGATGTTTGATTGATCTCATTATAAAGATAGCTCTTTCAGTACCTACGACCTGCCTAGTGGATTTAGTGTAGTACGATAAATGATTGCAATACAAAGGTGTCAAATATTTGTTTTAAGAAATAAAAAGTAATCGGAATAGAATTCAATAGTTTTTCATAGCTACCTAATAACTATTTTTCAGGGTTATTTCAAATTTACTGAAAACCTCTGAAGTGCATATTAGTGAAATTATAAACAACAACTTTTCTTCTGGACTAACACCGAAAACGAAAGAATAAAATTGTTTCTCCATACAAACTAACAACATTTGATTGGTCATTTGAATGGAGGACCATTTTTTTTTCATTTTGACGTTGGCCAGAAAAAAAGTTGCTGTTTATAGTGTTACAAACACATACCTAAGAGTTTTACAGTGAATACAAAATCACCTATATAGAATTTTATCTATGTATTGAAAGATCCGCCAAAAAAGTCACGGATACGGATACCGTTACGGATTTCTCTTCTCCCTTGGATATCCGCGGATACGGATACGGATACGGATATCCGGCACATCACTAGTTTGGACGCAGAATGTCCAAATTGCAAAATGTCCAGCAATCGCAATGCACTGCACTGGGCATTTTGGAAATTAGACACTCTGCGCCTAAACGGAATGTTGATAGAGATGTATGAGACACAGAGTACTGTAATACTATTTATTAGAGAGTATGAGACATATATGATTTCATTAAAGCAAAGGGTTACACGAATTAAGTCTTCTGCCCACACTAAATCAACAAAAAAATTAACAAAACTAATTGAGTGTAGAGTAATGGAATAATGACAATACGGTATTTTTACAAACAATGGTCTGGGCACCTCAGTCAGGGTGTGTAAGGTCTACGTGGTTGGTCGGATAATACGTTATAGGGCAAATACGCCTTAACTGTGCGTGTTAGACTTAGTACGAGTTTGACTTTTAACTTTATGCGTGTTGAACTTTGCGCGTGTTTGACTTTGTACGTGTTTGAATTTTTGTGGGTTTATACTTTATGGTTGTTCATCGTATTTATAGATAGCAACTTACGCGTCGGGTTCCTCTTTAAAACAAATTTATAACGATTAAAAATAGGCGCTTGTTAGACACTTCTAATAAAATACGAACACATATATATATAGCCTATAAGAATAACCATTTCTAACACCCATGTTTTGTTTTGCTTCTTTACTATTCTGTTGAAAGTTTATTTTCGAATTTGTTTATTAAAAAACAACAATCTCGAAATAATTTTAATACCTTACAGCACAGTTACTTTCACTCAGTTTTCAGAAATACCGAGGACTGATCATTTTTAGAATCAAACACATGAGCTTCAGACATAATGGCGGTTGCCGTGGAGTTTTCGATCTTTTTGTATTGAAAGTTTGGTAGATTCTTCTTAGCTGCAATAACTGTATCTCGTAGACGGTTTAGCCCAATGGATGGTGACAAACGAGATTCATCCCTACATTCTTTTATAAGGTCTTGCATCTCATCTTCGCCTAATGGGTGTATAAACTGTGACGATTTCTCCAAGTGACGTTTTAGCTCACCCTCTATACGCAGGAGCTTCTCTTTACTGGTGTGAGTTCTCCACGGTCGCTTAGGATCTTGAGTTGTCAGAGTTGTAACCGAATCCAGAACCTGCTTTTTCACTCTATAAGAAAAAAAGGAATTGTAAACCAAAATGACTAGTTAAAAAACATATTAACCACAGGGAATTGTAGATTACGATGCTAACCTCTTGGTTTCAGCTAAGAGTTCTCTCAATTTCCTTTCGTTTTCTTCTAGCAAGCGTTCATCCGCCCTGTAAGGGTTTTCAAAAACTTCGTTTTGCACATCGTCTTGTTTCATTTCCTCCTCTATATCTTTATCATATCTTTTATGAAATTCTTTAACCAGGCTCGAACACCGTTCCGTTAGTTTTATTTCTGGAACCTCTACGCTTTGTAGCAATTTACATATTTTGGATTTTTCTTCATCTGTAGTCATGTTGTTGTTTGAATCACTTTTGCAAGGTTGAGTCACTATAGCAACGCAGTTATCAAATTGGTTGCTAGGTGATTATGTACATAACAACCACATCAATGCATAAAATTTATGCATTATTAATAATTTATTAATGCGAAGCATATCCGATGTTCATATTGAAGTATTGTTTACAAATTCATTTATTTTTACGTATGCTACATCAGAATAGTAGGAAAATAGACCCCCGATGTACACACCCATCATTCCCAAAAACGTTGCACATGGTATCAGGAAGCAAAACAATTTTGCACTTGGACACAGAATTAATGCTGGGAGGCAATTAATCATGATTGCGATTCTTGTTTGAATCGCTATTTTAATATATTTTGGATCTTTTTTTATTTTTTCTCTTTTTATTTTATTACGATAAATTTTCTATAAAATTAACATGTGACTTTTTGTGACATTGACAGCCAAGACAATATTATTTTCCTTTTAAAATAATAATATATTTTAAAAGAGTATCTATGTAAGGTACTCCTCTCTCCACTCATTTTTCTTTATGACAGTTCCGTCACGTAAGCAATTGATGAAAATAACAATCAATTTTCTTTTTAACCAAATATACTTGGCTCAATTTATAAAAAATACTTTCATCTAGTTAAAGGAGGATTTTACGAGTTACTATGAATCTAGTGTGTAGAAACATAAAACCACAATCTTGATGTTAGTTATATATAAATGCAACTAAATATACTCATTATATTGAAAATGTAATTCATAACTTTAAATATTCATACGTTTTTCATTATACTCAATACGGCACTATGTGCCATGTAAGGTACCTACCTAACTCTATTTCTACATCATAAGTAATTTATTAGAAGCAATAATACTAATAGTAATAAAAGTGGTACCTAACATTATATTTCTCGTGCATGTGTTTTGAAGTTTATTTTTAAAAGATCTGGCTCAGTTGTATTCCAAAGCTACAGTTAAAAAACGAATAAACAGAAAATATAGTATAAAGGGCAGGTAGGCTACTAGTACCACTAGATAGGCTACTAATAAGAGGGGTAGCGACCCAGCAAATAATTATGGTTTCAGTAATTCAACACCATACAGAAGTTTCTGAACTATAACTAACTCACAAAAATGCCTCTTTTAGGTTCTGGTCAATATATTCCAAGACCGTGTACAAAACAATGTTTCTTGCGAAGCCTAGGAGAGCTCAGAAATCTTCGGGTTCTAGCACTAGAATATTCCCACTTAGCTGACGGAACTGGAGGGGCGCTGCTGTCTTTATTACCGGTACTAAAGAAACCAAACTTCAGGTTACAGGTAAATTTTATATAATTTTCCAATAATAATGTATAGCAAGACACGGGTTATTGACTGTTGTCTTACATAAGTTTATCGAAGACTACTTTAACTATATCACAATATAGATAGTATTATAAGTTTTGTGATAACAAGAAGAGTATATTCTTTAATCATTAGGTTATCGCTTACATAACAGGAAAAAACAGATTTTGCGAATGCTTATTTTGCATAACTGAGACTAAAATAGTAGTCGGCAAATAATTAGGGGCATGGACCATTTAGACGTGAGTATACACTCACTAAATCATCATTAGTCTCCTATTATTCTATTTAAGTATTCATATTATGCAAATACAGACGTCCATCATAAACATTATTTAAAAAATACTTAAACTAAACTTAACTTTATAAATTCATACATAGGGACATACATAGGGACACTGATCATCATCATCTGCCTACCCTTATTTAATTTTATTTGGGGTCGGCGCAGTAAGTACGATTCTTCCATTCTACTCTATTATTCGTCATCTCACTGTTAACTCCCTTCCTAGCCATATCCTCACTTATACTAAAAAACTAATTAATAAAAAATAACTAATTTAAGAAAACTATTCAATAAAAACCGATTATAGTCTTCTGTGCTCTTTGGCTGTGTATAGTAAGTAATAGACAGATTTTCTCATCTTCCACTCATTCAACATTAAGCTCTTACGTACTCTTAAAACTCATATATTAAATACAGTTGGTGTGTAGAGAGACACAAATTCCCGGATGCACAGATGCAGCGCTCGGTGCTGGGGGACATATCATACCCGATACAGCATGGAGACAGGTCACCAAGGCTTGTCCCGATCTGTATTTGTTGGTGGCTTTCTGTAAGTCAAAGTGAAAATATTTGAATACTGAATATGAGTCCTATTCCTGTATATAAAGTTACATTATAAACGTTGTATAAAGTTCTTAAGAACTTCTTCAAACCCTAAGAAGTTATGGTTCTTTTTGGCAGCCAGGTAAAATCCCAGCGTTCTGCAATGAGTTAAAAATTAGAACCAATGCAAATAGTATCTAGTTGCCATCTACGTGATGAAAGTTATATCTCAAAGTACAGAATACATAATTTTTAATTGTAGCTTGATCTTATTTGTACTCTGTTAATTATGGTATTACCAATAAAGAGCAGAACTGTCCTTCTTCAACAATTATATTTTTTTATTTATATGTAATTTTAACCAGTGGGATACAGAGTAAAGCTAAAGATATGACTCACTGTAGGTTGTATTTTTATGTTCTAGGGGGCAAACCAGCAGACGGGTCACCAAATGGTGACTACCGCCGCCCGCACATGGACCGTTGCTATCTATTAAGCCTTCTGAGGCGGAAGGTCTAAGCTTGTCTTCGCTAACCTAACTCGGTTAAAGCGACGAAAGAATTCCTTAACACCGGTTATCTGTTTTTTACTCCGATCGAGTCGGCCCCTTGTGTGGCGAGGCATGGCTCTCCCACGGCTTCAAGACGTTTCAAGAAACACAAAAGTAATGTATGATTACTGCTTCACCAGTCAGAGTACGGGACTATGACAATGTGAGGCGCTTCTTGTCACCTAGTATGTGTATACGCGAAGTGCACTTACAACTTGGCATCGATCTGAAGATGAAACAGCGCCAAGACTCTGACATTAGCTGCTTCGTTCGGCACATAGCTTACCGATACGCTGACACTATGAGTAAGTCTATTTTAGCTGTTTTTCAACTAACTACGACGTTTTGTAAAGTTAGTTCCAGGTTTATTTCTATATAGGTATGTACATTGTGCTTAATTTTTTTAATTAAAAGGTGAATCGCAGAATTTCAGAGCATTAAATTAATCTTAACACGGTTTAATGCAAACAAGAATCATTTATATCAATTATATCAAAAGTACAAATACATATGTATGCATGTATGTTGTAGAGTGAAAAAAAAAACACAAATTCATTGCGTCAATTGGTAGAAAAATAGAAAATCTGTCCTATTATTGCGACGATTACGACGAGTACGAGAGGTAAAAATTACTCGAAAATCATAACCAACCTTTCTTTAAAAAATAAAACATTTAATTCTAGTGTATGTTTTATACCTAATAGAATAATAATTGGACTAAAAATATAATAATCTGATTACATGTTTAATAGACTATAAGAAGGCTTATGGCTCGGTTCAACATACATAGCTCTTGAAAGTGCTAGAGTTGTATAAAATTGATACAACTCTGTGCAATCTATTGAAGTAATTCGCTATCCCGTGGAATCCCAGATGTGGGTAGACTGCAGTAAACGATATATATTTCAAAGGTGATATCCTGAGTCCCTTGTGATTTTGTCTGGCTTCGAACTCTCTTAGCACGCTATAGAGGGGTCAGGGTTAGGCTACAGGTTGTAGAAAGATGATCGAGTTATATTTCACGTTCATTATATGGATGATTTGAAACTACTAGCATCCACTAAATTACAATTGACAGCGTTACTAAAGTTGACTGAAAACTTTAGTGATTCTATCAAGATCGAATTTGGTGTAGACGAATGTGCAGTCATGTACTTACTCGTATGTAAAGAAGGGCGTGATAGCGGAATGGAGAGAGCTATCAGATTCAACAAAACTCAAATATTTTTCTACCACCAAAACTACAAGTATCTAAGTATATCACAGCCCATCAGAATACCAGAATCTAACATGAAACAAACAATGCAGAAACGCTTCTTTGGGCCGCCTGAAAAAGGACTTAAAGTCTCTTATCAGGGGGCAACAAGGCGCAAGCCTGCAAAAAAAATGGTGATCTCTTCGGAGAAACTGAAGATTTGGTTTGTGCTATTACGGACGAAGTTATCATGAAGAATAACTATCGCAAATATATCCTGAAAGATGGTACGGTTTATATCTGTCGAGCATTAGACCGTCCTGTGAAATCAATCAGGCATATTATTTCTGGTTGTTCTCACCTTGCTAATGGTGAATATTTGCAGAGACACAACCAAGTATCGTACACCAACAGTTTTCCCCTTAATACCAACTTGTGAGTGTGTTAGAGGTGCCATACTACAGGTATGTGCCCGACCGAGAATGGTCGGGCCACGTTATATTGGTATCGATCTATTATCACAAATAGGACTATTGTTGTCAATAACTGTTGATATCGTCATTCCTCGTGACGAGAATCTCGTGAAAGTTTAAAAAGAAATACAATTTGTTTTTATATATCACGAGATTCAGTGTACCGATATTTCTATCTGCTCACGGATTGATAGCCAAGAGCCTCGACGACCAATACTTTAAGAGGCTCATGTTAGACGGCTGGATCAAGAGTCTGATGCAGAAGGCAGTTTTCCTTGGCACGGCCTGTATAGTGACGAGGTACGTGTCTTTCGAGCCTGAACCACCGGTGTCTTGGTCCCTGTACCCGAAGTCGGTTGTCTATTAAATTCAAAATCAAAATATCTTTATTTCATAAAAAAATTAAAATCGTTGATCAACACACACACAAAAGCATCAATATCTGTTTTTCATCGCTATTTTTTATATTTTTAGCTATATATTTTTTTCCTTTGTTACGTATTTTAAAATGTAAGCAATATGTAAATAAACGTAATAAAGATTATGACTACGGGAGTAACGCACCTACTCTATAAGTCTGGTAGTGCCACGAATCCCAAAAATTCTAAGCCAATAGCGTGTCTGCCGACATTATATAGATTACTATCGTCCATTCTGAGAGCGAAGATAACATCTCATATTACGAACAAATCTATTATGTATCACTCTCAGAATGGATAATGTGGCACTAAAGAGCGAACTATTATTGACACGACTATTAACCAACAAGTTCGTCGTAACCGAAAAGAGCTGGCGACATATTGGATAGATTATAAAAAGGCTTATGACTCTGTGCCGCATACGTGGCTCTTAAGGGTGATGGAGTTGTATAAGATTGAAGATCTTAGTGAATGTATCAGGATGGAATTTAGTGTAGATAAGTGTGCAATCATACGTTGTAACAAGAGGCAGGGTTGTGGAATCTGATAGGTTGGAACTCTCAGATTCAACGCACTTTACGTGTCACAGCTAACGAAACTTACAAATATATGGGTATGTCACAGGCGATAGGTGTAAATGAGTTGACTATGAAACAATCGTTACAGGAACGCTTCTTTAGCCGCCTGAAAACATTATTAAATACTCTTGTCAGGTGGTAATAACGTGAGGGTCTATTATGATTGGGTCATACCAGTTCTAATCTACTCTTTGGCATAGGTACTTGATGGACTCAGACTGAACTAGATACCCTGGATAGAAAAGTTCGTACATTACTGACTGCGTACCAAATGCATCATCCACGTTCATCGGTGATGAGGTTATATATTCCACGAAAATGAGGTGGTCGTGGTTTTCTAAATGCCATTGCAAATTTGCAGAACTCAATATTACTGATCATAAGGAGATATGGAAGGGCAAAGAGTTGCATGGACGTTATTATCGGGCCTTGAACAGACCTGAGGTAGACCAACTGGCACCTGTATTCTGGCTACGATTCGGTGACCTCTTCGGAGAAAGTGAAGGTTTGGTCCTTGCAATTACTAATGAAGTTGTTATGACGAATAATTATCGGAAGTATATTCTGAAGGACGGCACAATAGACATTTGACGGACATGTCATTGTCCCGGTGAAAGCCTCAGATATAAAATTTCCGGTTGTTCTCGTCTTGTCAACGGCGAGTACTTGCATAGACATAACCAAGTAACCAGGATAGTCCATCAGCAACTTGCTCTTAAGTATAACCTTGCGACTGTAGAGTTACCGTACTAAAAATATGTGCCCGACCCATTTCTTGAAAATGGTCGTGCAACGTTGTACTGCATGGGATCGCCCTATTATCACTGACAGGACTATTGTTGCCAATAAACCTGGTCTGCGTGGTGACGGATTAAGAAAACAGAGTGTCACCACCCCTATTCATCCCGTGGGTGTCGTAAGAAGCGACTAAGGGAGCAAACTACGCAGGACAACAGCACTGCAAAGAGAAGGAAAACTTGAAACAATCCTATACCAACCCGTCTGGCCAGCGTGGTATAGTAGGCCAAAACTTCCTTTCTGAGGAGAGGCCTATGCCCAGCAGTGGACTAGTAAAGGCTGTGGATCAAACCTGATATAGTGGTAAAAGACCGATTAGAGCGCCGAGCCTTAAATGTTGACATTACCATTCCACATGACGGCAATCTCTTGAAAGCTGAAAAAGATAACAAGTAAAGTCTGTGGATTTGGCCCACAAGATTGTCGACATGTGGAATAGTAATGCCAACAGTCATTGCTCGGCACTCTAATCGGTATAAATGTATTTTTTGTACATAAATATATTTTTTTAATTTATTTTATGTGTATATTTAATGTAATAAAGATAATAATTTGATACAATTCACCACGCCCCAATAATAACCTTAACAAGTGAAGAACAAATTCATCAACTTATGGCTAAAGCATGACTAAATTATAATAATTATTATTTCTGCCTACAATATATATATACTCGTAAATGCACTGAAATTAAGTTGTCATTAGCTTGTCTATTAATTGAAATATTATCATACCTGCCCCTTGTCATATGTTTTTGCACATTTTTAATATATTTAATTTCCGCCATACCAGTACAAACACCCCATTATTATCCTAAACATGTAAAATCAAATACCTCTACAGACACCTACACATACAAACCCTACACTGAACAAATCAGCTCCGTTATACACACATTCCCTATATTTGGATTGCACGTGTATCGCACTTACCTATTTTCTTTACAAACATTGAATTTCAAATCTAATATTTTCGTGACCTATAATAACATAAACACTTATAAAACACACATATCAAACAAAACAGAATAAATGTCCATACGGCTAATATATCTATTAATACAATAACATATAATCAACAAAAACTACTTATACCCTACACAAATATAAAATGAGCCTTCTTTTCCCTGATGTATGACATAAGTTACATAATTCATATATGCAACTACCATAAAACAACTACTATTCGATATCTAAAACATTCTAATGGGTGACGCATTACAAACAGTGAAAGAAATAGACAAAATTGAAATCTCTAGTTCAATTGAATGTGACTGCTCGAATCTTACTGAACACATTGTTGTAAAGAAAAACGATTTTACCATATTTTCTCAGAATATCAGGAGCATATACCGTAACTTCGATGATTTTGCAGTAATGTTATCGACTTTTAAATTCGAGCCCGATGTATTAATTTTGACCGAGTGTAGATTAAGCACTAAAAAGCCTATTCCGCAACTCAATAACTATAATTCCTTTGCAACAACACGGCAAATTAACCAAAACGATGGAGTTGCTGTATATGTAAAAAATACTCTCAAACCAAAAATTCAAGAAATACAACTCTCACAGGCGTCATGTCTTCAGATTGATATCCTTAATAATGTTGCCCTAGGTATATACCGATCTCCTTCAAATACAAACATTGACAGCTTTATTGACTCACTCAGCACACACTTAGATAAAATAGACACACAAAAGAATTTAATAATAGCTGGAGATATTAACATTAATATTAGGCCCAAAGAAACTGAAGCGCCCCATGAAAACAAAAACCGTCTACAGTACCTTAACATGCTGTCGACTTATGGTATATTACCTGGTCACATTTTACCGACTAGAGAACGGAACTGCCTGGATCATTTTATGCTGAGAATCAATAGAAAGAGGACATCTGCCTCTGTTGCTATTTTACAAACCACAGTAACTGATCATTTCACTACATTTTTATCACTATCCAAAATAAAAAATAAAGAATCTGTAACTAAGATCACCACCACTATACATTACGAACTAGCGCTGAAGTACTTACAAGAAAAAAACATCTCAGACTTACTTTTCTGTGACGATCATCACTTACTTACTGACCTCCTCATACAGAAATTAACTGACGCCATCAAAACAAACTCAACAACTACAAACATTCCAAACAGCAAACGCATAATCAAGCCATGGATAACCCCAGGCATACTCAGATGTATTAAAAACAGAAACAAACTACAAAAAAACTCTAGATGTGACCCACACAATACAATCATAAAAATAACATATTGTCGTTATAGAAATTACTGCAATAATTTAATCAAAAAATTAAAAAGGACATACGAAAGAGAATTATTAACTAAGTCTATAACAAACACAAAGCTACTCTGGAAAAATGTTAAATCTATAACTTACACAAATAAACAAATAAACCAAAGTACATAACTATTAAGCGTTAAGACATCTCCACATGAATCAATAAATTTTGTAAATGAATACTTTGTGAACATCGGAAAAGATTTAGCTAAAAAAATTCAGCCTCGGCCAAATAATATGTCTACTGAACAACCCAGTACCTCTCCACAAATGAACTCTTTTGTATTATTAGATACTGATACAGCAGAAGTGGAAAGAACTTTGAACAGCTTGAAATTGAATAGTGCCCCAGGATGGGACAATGTTACACCTAGATTCTTAAGGTATACTAGCAGCGAGATTGTTCCCATCATTAGTCACCTAGCTAACCTTTGTTTCAGGCGTGGCATTTTTCCAACCTCATTGAAACAGTCCATTATAACGCCGGTACATAAGGGTGCGAATAGAGATGATGTCAATAATTATAGACCTATCTCGGTGTTACCAGCCATATCCAAAATTTTAGAAAAATTAATTAATATACGACTTAGAAATTACCTATATAAATTTAAAATTCTATCCAATACACAATTTGGTTTTAGGCAAGGATTATCCACCGAAGATGCAGTTATGATTCTTAGTTCGCTAATAACTGAGGATCTTGATAACGGTAGCAACTGTCTAACTGTATTTATAGACCTAAAAAAAGCTTTTGACACCGTCTCTGTTCCAACACTTGTGTCCAAGTTGGAAAAAATTGGTGTTCGAGGAACCCCTCTCAAATTATTTATAGACTATCTAACAAATAGAAAGCAGAGGGTTAGGATAGCATCGTATACTAGTGACGACGCAGAGGTATCATTTGGCGTACCGCAGGGAAGTGTGTTAGGTCCAACATTGTTTTTAGTATACATCAATGACCTTTGTAACCTCAAAGTCACAAATGCAAAAATCATTTCTTACGCTGATGATACCGCTGTTGTCTTTCATGGGAAGAACTGGCCTGATGCTATGCATAATGCTGAGATGGGCATGTCACACATAGCTAATTGGCTTAAAGACAATCTTCTTAGTCTAAACACAACAAAAACTAATTTTATATGTTTTAGCGTTTCCAATCGATCAAAACCAAATATAGCTTTTAACGTTAAAATACATTCATGTGATAATAGCACAAACAATAACTGTAAATGTCCTGCTCTTGTGAAAGTCTCACAAACAAAATATCTAGGTGTTATTATTGACCAAAACTTAACCTGGTATCCACACATAGAACATGTCACTGGAAGAATAAGGAAGTTGGGGTGGATATTTAAAACGTTAAGATATGTTGCCCCAAAAGGCCCTAGCAGAAATATTTTAAATGAAATTTATATGGCCCTTGCGCAATCAGTGTTGGTATACTGTATTCCCGTATGGGGCGGGGCGGCTAAATCTAAATTTATTGAAGTTGAACGAGGACAGAGGAGTCTAATAAAAATTATGTACTTTAAAAAGATCACATATCCTACTGATAGTCTTTATAGAATTAGTGACCTTCTTTCTGTAAGAAAATTATATATAGCTAGTGTAGTTGTAAAAAAATACAAAACAATTCCCTATGATAAAGGCTTATTATCAAAAAGACTAAAAAATAAAATTGCACCAATTCCTCAAACTAAAACCGTATTCGCTTCTCGTCAATACTCTAAGCGCTCTGCTCAACTTTATAATCGGGTAAATAAGGAGATATACATACATTCCAAACCACTTCACGAATGTAGAAGAATACTAGTAAGTTGGTTAAAATCACTTACTTATGAAGAAACTGAAGCATATTTACAATCCAAATAAACACACACACACACACACACACATGCACACACACACACACACACACACACACACACACACACACACACACATATATATATATATATCAACTTCCCATCTAAACATGTACTGGTCCCTTCATAACATTATTTAAGCTGGAATATTTTGTATTATTTTTTGTATTTTTGTTTTTCTGTATTGTTTAAGTAACTTTGTAAGAATCACCTGAACACAATCGTATACCAATCCTGTAACAAGCATGCTATGGAAGAGCGGAGTTTCCTAATACAGGCATTATTTGCTTAAAGGGAAGCTCCAATCACGAATATTGTTTTACAAATTTTTGGTAACGAAATAAAACATTTGTATTTGTATTGTATAATTCACATATGGGAGTCTAATCCCAAACTAGGCAGAGCCTATACTAAGGTGACCACACTGCTGATACATATTTACATATTTCTAAATACATGCATATCTTTACATAGAATAAAATAAAGTCAAGTCAGTCAGTCAAAGTAAAAAAAAATACGAACTGACTTATATCTACTACTCTGTCAAGAAAGTACAGGGAAAAGATCAATAATACAAAAAATGATTGTTATTCATCCAAATTTATTTTATCACCTTCAAAGTATGCTCCTTCAGAAACGATACACTTACGCCAACGAATAATCCAATCATCAAAACATTTTTTAAACGCTGTTTCTGGAATTGAGTTTAATCCTCGCCGCGAATTCTCCTTTGTCTTCTACCGATTGAAAACGGGTGCAACGTAGTAGTGCGAAAGTAGTCGGCTGGAGCTATATCTGGTAAATATGGTGGTTGCTCGATGGTATCTGTTGAGTGTATGGTCAAAAATTCGTTCACAATGATGGCCTTGTGCGAAGGCGCATTATCGTGGTGCAAAATCCAAGAATTTTCTTTCCACAAATCTGGCCTTTTTCGTCGAATTTGTTCTCTTAAATGCCGCAAAACGCTCTAATAATATTTATTTACCATTTGACCTTCCAACAAGAATTCCGAGTGCACAACACCGCGATAGTCAAAGAAAACAGTCAACATGTCTTTGACTTTTTGACTTGTTTGTTGTGTCAAAAGTTAAAAAACAAATTGTTTGACTTTTGATCGACTTTGGCGTGGTTTTTTCGGTTTCGGTTCAGTTGGAAGGGTGGCGCCTTCCGAAGCTTGTTGACTAGTTTGCATGTCAAACTCGTAAACCCACTTCTCGTCACCAGTAACAGTGCGTTTCATGAATGTTGGGTCAGAATTGACTAGGTTCTAGCATGTCCTCAGCGACTCTCATGTGATTGAGTTTTTGGAGAAAATTCAGGTCTTTTGGGACTAGCCGAGCGGTAACATGTTTCATACCCAAATGATTAGTTAAAATGGTACGGATCTAATCGTGAGATACAGAAAGTTCGGCGGCTATTTCTCTCAAAATTGAATGAGGATTTTCAGTCACTATTTCCTTCACTTTTGCGATGTTAACTTCAGTTGAAGACGTTGATTGCCTACCAGAGCGAGACAAATCTTCCATCACATCTCGACTGCTTTTGAACGCTTTGTACCACTCATAAGCACGTGTTTTTGATAAAGTCGATGCACCGTACGCCTTCTGTAACATTTTCAGTGACTCCGAACACGAAATGCCATTGGCGATGCAAAATTTAAGACAAACCTCTTTTTCGTTGTTGTTGTCCATTATGAAATTCGCAATACACACTAGATATGATAGAACTAAAAACAGCACTGTATTTAATATAAAAAACAGACAACTCAAATTCCGCGCCAAAATGGAAAACAGTTGTGCCAATCTAACAACAAAAAAAAACAAAAATTTGAATTTGAAATCATAAACAAATCATCCATTCTCGATACTTTTTTGACTGAATGTATACCTATGTGTAGGTACATAACATGCTATAGGAATACAAACAACTTTGAATATAGCCATTTAGCAATGATTGAAAAGCGTTTCGCATCCCATATGGTACTAATATAAATTACACCTTGTTCTCCAACGATTTGCCAAAGGTAATGTTCGACCATCTGCGACGAAGCAAAGAACTCTTTTCATGGTATGGCTAGGCAAACAAGCAGACGGGTCATCTGATTGTAAGGGACTACCGCCGCCCTTCAACACTTGTAACTCAAAAGTCACAAGAGAGCTGATGCCTCTTCAGTTCCTCTCCTCAGAAGCAAGGGGAGGGTTTGGGCCCCGGTAATCTCACCCACTCGGTGAAAAGCAATGAAGGAACTGCTTAACACCGGTTTTTGTGAGGCCTTGGGATCTCTCCATCTCTCGAGCCTGGCCAATATGTGCCGAAGCGAGGCTCTCCCGCGATTGATAAAACGATTATATTTCCCCGTTTAAAACTTTATATTTCTGCTCTTTAGTTACCCTAAGCATCCATCAGTGGCGGTGTGCCGTGTTTCCCCTACGTCGTGTGTTCGAACTGATGCCACATCTGGTGCGATTTTACTATGTCGGTCGTGTTGAAGATGAGGTCGATTTAAAAAGGATGTTTGAACTGATTTCATACGGTGTTTGTGACAGTAAGTATTTGCATTTTATAAAAAGTTTAGATTTTACAAAGTTTTAGTATCCTGGGTTTCTGAGTTACCTATGAAGACAGAAAAATTATTTGTAGCGATAGTCCTACAAATAGCTATTATCACAGAAAACCGGTAATAAATAATTCTGTCCTTGCTTTTCAACTTCCCGGATTTGGTCCGACCAATAGATTTACGAAGTTTTCTCTTTTTTTTAAATGAACTCCCGCATTAAGAATATATCCATACATGAAATGGACACAAAGAACACCCAAACGAAGAACAACAATTCGTGGATCGCACAAAGTGTCGTCCCATGTGGGGATTGGACCCACAGCACTCAGCGTAGTAATAAGCGGCGTGGCGACCGCTTACACCACTACGCCATCCGTGCATTCAAGTTAACTAACGATTGCTAGAGTTTTAATTTAATTAATTAACAGTCCCTTATCCCAGTTCAATCGTGAAATTTAAATAAATCGGCCCAGTTTCTTAAATTTGTGCACCCAACCGCACCGTTATTCACGAACGTAAGATCCCACCAAAAACATTTTTATGTAAAATGTTGCAAAGACGAGACCATATGGCTCGCACTGTCAAAAAGTTTTCAGATCTCACGTAGATAACTCACAAACTACATTTTAGTCAAAATATGTTACTCGGCTCATACATGACAGAATAATAAAATTTTTGGACCGTTTCAATGTTCTAAATCCCAACCAATTTGGTTTAAAAAAAATAAAAACACATCCTTAGCCATTTTTAAACTTTTTAAGAATATATGGGATACCATGAATGAAAAAAGAGATGTACAGCCTTATTCCTAGATATGTCAAAAGCTTTCGACTGTGTAAATTTTAATAATCTGTTAAATCAACTCAATAACATTGGAATTAGAGGTTCAGTCAATAAACTAATAGAATCTTAATAAAAAATAGAAAACAAGCCACAGTCATTGATTTTTATGATAGTAATTCTAAAAGTTAAAGTTAAGTAAAGTAAAGTTTGGTATCTATTAAATCAGACTTTAAGGAAGTAAAACTAGGTGTACCACAAGGGAGCATAGTGGGTCCGTTGTGAACCACAACTTATTTATATAAATGACCTTCCTAACGTAATAAAATATTATTGTGTGATGTATGCAGATGATGCTACTATATTTTTATCTCAGGATAACTTAGATGACACAACATATGAAACTGAAATAAATAACACGCTAAAAATAGTACCATATGGCTAAAGTCTAGAAATTTGAAAGTTAATCTCACCAAGACAAAACTGATGCAATTTAGAAATTATGAAAAGAAGATTCCTACTTTAAATGTATATGAATCTGATATAAAAATTTATGAGGTCCCACAAATAAATTTTCTTGGTGTTACTATAGATCAGCACTTAAACTGGAAGGGACATATAGAGAAAATAAACAAGAAATTATCTATTTTTAGCTACACCATATCTGTGCTTGCTGAAACAACTTCAACAGAAACCGCTAAATTAGCCTACTATGGTTATGTGTACCCTCTTCTAACGTATGGGGTGATATATTGGGGCAATTCATCTGAAATTCAGTCAACATTCATTTTAAAAAAAAACATGTCTGCGCACTATTTATAACATGCATAGCACCTCACACTTACTGGCATTTATATACTGACTGTGTATTTTTGTAAAATGTACATAGGTGTACAAATAAGTTTCCGCCGTTTTTTACAAAAAAATAGAGGTTTATTCTGAAAGAACAGTACATTATGTTTTATTCAAAGTATTGGCCATAATTAGGCACTACTTTTTCCCATCTTTCTGGCAGCATTGGAATACCACGTCGAAAGAACTCTTCATCTTTTGTAGCTATCCACGAATCGACCCAATTTTTAGTATCTTCATATGATGTAAAGTACTGCTCAGACAGGCCATGTGCCATCGACCGGAATAGATGATAATCAGACGGGGCAATGTCTGGTGAATAAGGCGGGTGAGGTAGCACTTCCCAATTAAGTGTTTCTAAATAATTCTTGACCGGCACCGCAACATGCGGACGAGCATTATCATGTAGGAGAATAATCTTGTCATGTCTTAGAGTAATGGGCGCGTTTTTCCTTGAGTGCTCGGCTCAATCTCATTAACTGTGTTCGATAGAGAGCTCCAGTGATGGTTTCGCTCGGTTTAAGCAACTCATAATAAATGACACCAAGCTGATCCCACCAAATAGACAGAAAGAGTTTTTATTTCCATGAATATCGGTAATATCGGTTTGGCTGTCGATGTTGAAGCATGGCCCCCATGATTTTCTCGTCTTTGGATTATTGAAGTGAATCCACTTTTCATCACCAGTAACTATACGATGTAAAAAACTCTTTCGTTTTTGCCTGGCAAGAAGAATTTTACATGTGCAAAATCGGCGCTCAACATCTCTCGACTTCAGTTCATGTTGAACCCAATTTCCTTGTTTTTGAATCATTCCCAACGATTTCAAACGATGAGAAATTGCTTCTTGAGTCACTTGTAATGTACGTGCGAGTTCTTCTTGCGTTTGGCGCGAATCATTGTCTTCCACATCAAAATCACAGTTTTTAAACTTTTGAAACCACTCACGACAACTTCTCTCGCTCAAAGCAGCTTCACCATGAGAGATGGGCCTCAGCTGCAGTTTTCTCCAAATTAAAGAAGTAAAGTAACAGTTCCCGCAAATGACGCTTATTCGGTACAAAACTTGACATTTTTGCACAAAAAGAAATATGTGATACGGATAAAGAGTCACTAATACTCTAAGTGTATGTTGTTACTAGATGTCCAAACTCACGATATCACATGTTACATCTGACGATTTTAACGTAACCTCTTAGTGAGGACATCTTTCGTTAAACGGCGGAAACTTATTTGTACACCTAAGTCTTCTTTTAATTTTAAATGTAACTTGAAACGTAATATACGCAATAAATATAAATGCAATATAAACCTACCTTTTTTTTCTTTTTTTTCCATGCGGAAATCCCCTCGGATACCACCTGTCGGTGGCATGTCGGACTCGAACCGACTAAAACCGCACGCCGTCTCGGGTACTAATAGCCGGGGAACCAGGTATACCCTAGAAAGGAAGTCCCTGGTGCCCCGACATTCCTCGGATCATCTACAGACGAGTAGACGACCCCCCCCCCCCCCCCCCGTGTGGGAACCCCATGTTCCCTGTGCTCCCTGGAAGCGAGCGCGCTTCGCAACGCGCTCGCCGCCACCCCGGCCAACTTCTGCTAGGGTGACAGATAGCCTCACCTGTCACCCCCATATCATATTACTAATATGATATACTATAAAAGCACATACATAACAGCAAAAAGAGTATTGAATAAGCTCCCGCTAGAAATAAAGATTTTAGATGGCAAAATGTTCAAGAATGCTCTAAAGAAATGGTTAACAACATTGATATAATACTTATTTTAACTCAATGGTTAACAAGTTAACAAAGAATATATTCTATAATTTGCAAGAGTATTTTCTCACAAAATAATTTGCATGCCTTTTAAACTTATTGTAATCTTCCATTTTTATTTATAGTGTACTTTAAAATTGCAATGCCCGATTGGGTAACTGTTGAAACTTTACCTACCACAAAACATCTATATATGTAACGCAGTTTTTTTTCAATAAATGTCTTTGTCTTTGTCGCCCCGTTTTGTTACTACAAGAACTATTGTAAAACGGAAAAAAAATAAACAGTGAATAAATTTTTCATCATCATCATCATCATCATCAACTGCCTTTAATAGTCTACTGCTGGACATAGGCCTCTCCTTAGAAAGGTTTTGGCCTACTATGCCACGCTGGCTAGACGGGTTGGTATAGGGTTTGTGTCAAGTTTTCCTTCTCTACGCAGTGCTGTTGTCCTGCGTAGTTTGCTCCCTCAGTCGCCGCTTACGACACCTACGGGATGAATAGGGGTGGCGACAGTCCGTATTCTTAATTCGAAAGACGGAAGCCGTAGACGCATTATTAATTCGGACTTAAGTGGAAATGTTTCGTCTCCTACCGGTCGTGATAACTGTGGGGAGTACAATTACTGTGACTTAGTGTCACAGGCCACCGATTACTTATCAAAAATTAATGAATTAGTTAATGATCAGGGATCTAGGATGAATGTAGGGAATAAAACGGCGATTATGGATATTACTCAACGAATTACCGGTATCGTATCAATGTTAGCAATAAAATCCTTTAGCAACGAAGCGAAGTTAGCGAATTTTGAGCGACAAATGGAGGGTATCGCAACTCAACAAACGAGTTTAACGTACGCGGACAAACTTAAGCTTCGCTTACCACCTAAATCTGCCCCGTGCCCGGTACCTACTGAAGCGCGCGTTCCTAGGCCTTGTGTTATTGCCTATCCCACTACGGAACGCTTAGCGGACTATGCGACCTCGTCAGCAACGAAACAAGCTCTTATGAAGGCTATTAAACCGAGCGATGAGGGTTTCCAAATTGTAGGCTTTAAAAAAACCTCTAAGGCAGGCGTCGTGTTACGTGTAGCTAACGAACGGCAGCTTAAGAAACTGGAATCTGTAGACGCCATTAAATCAGCAGGTTTACGATTAGAAAAACCGAAAGGCCGAAAGCCCCGTATAATTGTAAAAGACGTACCCGTTTCTATGGAAGATCGTGCCTTCCTAACAGCTTTATACCGTCAGAATATCAAGGACGAATTAAAATTAAGTGAGAACGATTTTATTAAGTCAACCAAAATTGTTAGGCATCGTAAACTAGAAAATGGGCGTCAATGGATAGGCTTAGAATTGGAGGCAGCAGTTCGGAAACATCTAGCCAACACAAAAGATAAACTTTATATAGACTGGGCCACTTGTCGATTCATAGACGATATAGAAGTAGTTCGTTGCTTAAATTGTCAGCAATTCGGTCATGTACAAAAGTTTTGCACCATTAAAACCCCTACTTGTGCTAATTGCGCCGCCGCACACGAAACGCGAGCTTGTCCAGATAAAGACACACCAAAT